GTTACGCAAATCAGATGAATAAATTTTTTACTATGAAATTTGAGTGATCAACACTCATGAGAAATTTGATTTTCATAGTAAATTGCAACGGTTAGCTATTTTCAATCATTGTTTTCAGGGGTTTCCTAAAAGGAAACAACACTCACGGGATGTAGTAAGTGTTCAGAAAGTTAAAAATTATGCGATAAGTAAGCTTAAAACAAGATAAAAAAGTAAAATTAAAAGAATCTTGTTCACAAAGATAGCCTTTCGTTTCATATTCTATAACACTTAAGGTACTATAGATTTTAACATTTCACTGATTATGAAGGTATTTTTATGTAATATAAATATTCTTAACAACTTTACACTGATTTTAAAAGCTTTTTAACAAAAAAAGAACGAAGTACTAAAATGTTTTATTGTCAGGAATAAACTGTAGCCATTTATACTATGCAAACTTATAATTAGATTTATTAGAAAATAGTTTAGTTATACTACAGTCGTCTTCCCATAAAATCACACAGTTGGGCACATAGTAAATTTTTTTCAAAATGTGCTTATATAGGAGTTGTGTTTATATGGAGGTCTTTTTCTTATAAATTAAATCAAAGTTTGGCCCAAACATAAATGTGATTACATATGATGTGATTATATAGAAGGTGACTATATGGAAAGACAACTGTATATAAATAATTAATAAATATGTATTACTGTATTAATTGAACTAATAAAAGATCATAATGTGTAAATTTTATTTTTTATTGAAAATAGTATTACTACATATGCTGTAAAAAAATGGTATTAAGCTAATTCACTAGTCATATAAATAAGAAAAAAGATGAATTTAACAAAAAAATAAGACACAAAAAATTAATTATTTCATAAACTATTGATCAGAATTGTAAAATTTTAGTACTGTTCAATTCATTTCAATAAAATGTATCAAATAATACCAAAATTTTACAATTTTGATTAATAGTTCATGAGATAATTAATTTTTTGTATCTTTATTTTTTTGATAAATTCATCTCTTTTTTTAGCACCAGATTTATATTACAAATTTTAGTAAATGTTGTTAATATAATAAATTATAATACAGCAAAAGCATAAATAATAGAAGAATATAATTTTATTATAAATATAGTTGCTATTTATTAAAAAAAAACCTTAGTAGCAAAATTATAATCTATATATTACAAAATGATTTTTCTTAATTTACTTTATATTTCTATAAGATATCCTTCTTTCAAAGATACATTTAACAAAAAGTTCTTATCTGTATACATCTAACAAGCTATTTTTCATATTAAGATTTTAAAAACTCCTATAAAAAAAGACAAAATAATTATCTATATTCAAAGAGGTTTTATATTACCTAATAATGTTAGTTTTTCATATTCTTTATACTGTTTAATTTATTAAAACTCTGACAATTTATTTGTTTTAATAAATATTATATATTGTAACTAAAACTTAAGGAGAAACTTTTAAAAATGTTAATTCATCAATTTGTATAATTTATAAAAATTATATAATAAAAAATTAGGTGTGATATCTCAATCAACTGATAAGTAAGGAGGAAAAAGAAGTTAATTATAAATAATAATACTATTTTTAATTCTTATTGTAATGTTTTAAAAATATAATTATATTCAAGGAATGTAGCAACTTAGTAAAGTTGGTAAGTTGTTGCATCTTCAAGTAGCAGGACAAGAGTTTGAATTCTACTAATAACAAAATTCAAATTTACGAAATATATTACAGCAGATTGTATAACATATTGATCAGATTAGCATCTGTAACCTTAGTCTTATCAACTCATATTAGGAGGTTGTAGAACATAGTATAGTATATAAGTTACACAAATCCTGAGTAAAACAGCCAAATTAATCTAAAAAATTAGAGAATATGGAAGTCTACTTGAGAAGTCTTGAGTAAAAAGGTAGCACAGATCTTTGATAGCACTATATATAGGATTATTATTTGAAAAACCAGACACCAGAAATAAATTGAACAAGAACTAAGTATTTGGCAAAAGCACTACACCAACCAGATCATCAGATAACCAAAGGAATAAAGATTCATTTAGAATATCAGAAAATACTTACTGGTCTCTTTTAGGCTATTTGGATTAGAAGTTTAGAGCACTGACAGTTAGTATCAAAGTATTGTTGATAGTCTGTAAAGTGAATACTAAGGTTTGGATAAATTTTGCAAGAGCAAGAAGTAAGTGATAATAGCAGAGATAAAATATCACAAGTACTTGGCTGCAGCCTAGATATAAGTTAGTAAAATCTAGGTGATATATTTATAGAATATAGACTGCTCTAATAGGTTTACCATAAGGATAAAGTAGTTCCAAGAGGCTTTAGTGGCAGTTTCTTTTTGAAAGATTATTTGATAGCACTAAGTTGATCAGAGAGTTTAAATAGGAGATCCACAGACAGATCTCAGATATAACAAATGGCCGTATATCTGTCAGTTAAATACTGACTCCCACCTATACATACTGATGAAATTATTTTAGATTTCAGAGTACGAATTAAAATTTGAAGATAAAATTGTTTTTGACCTATTTTACTTAAAAGACAAAATTTTTTGACACTTTTTTTTAAAAAAACGAAATTATAAGGAACATAACTATCTAAATTAAATTTGCTATTGCATATAAAAAATTTCAAATTGCTCTAATAGAGACAAAATAGAGGTTTTTTAAAAACCTATTTCGGTGGCATATATACTTCTGCCCAAAGTATTCTGATCTAGAAGTTGAGTTAAATAATTGGGTATGTGTATTGAGGGCTGAACTTAAAGCAGTTATATGTAGCATGATTCAAGTTAAAGCCAAAACTTTGGTACAATCACAACAATTTTATTATTTTATCCTAATATTTTAACTTTTCAATAGAGCTATAAATGGTTAGACAGTTTTATGAATCATTATCATTTGAGCAATCGATGCTACACCACTATTTCACAATGTTTACCCAAAGATTATGAGGAAAAGCAACAGAAATTTTTAAGTTAGTTCTTTTTTTAACAAATGAAATATGAATATCCTTTAAAGCTAATTAGCAATATGGATGAAACTCCACTTTCTTTTAACTTGCTAAGTAACTTTACAATTGACGAAACTGGAATTTGCAGTATTAATATCAGAACCTGTGGATATAAAAAATCAAATTTTACTGTAGCTTTTTGTTGTATATCAAACAGTCCCAAGTTGCACCTGCTAATTATTTTAAACTTAAAAATGTATTATGACTTAATTTTCTAACAGAAGTAAAAATTAAAGCTAATAAAGAAGGTTGGATGAACACAAATAAAATGTTATTTTGGATTAAGAATATGTGGAATTACCATGCACCTCTTGCTGTTGACTCATGTTCTTTGTTAGTGATTGATTTATTTAGTAGTCATCTTGTAGACTCTGTTAAACAATGATTTAAGGAAAAGAAAACTGACTTAGCAGTAATTTCTAGTAGATTAATTTCTCAGTTATAATCATTAGACATAGCTAAAAACAAACTTTTTAAAGACAAGGTATTATATTAAAGCATTAAATATTTACTAATTTAGAATAATTATATAGCTGATTATATTAAAGAAAGATAAAATTGGTGATAGAAATTTAAAAATATTTGAGACCAACTATTTTTAAAAGAACAGCATTATGCTATCTAAATTTTTAAGATAAAAACGATTATTGGCTATAGAAATTTGGACAATTTGTTTTTATTTTACAACTTTTGTATTAATTTTAAGCATTAATTATTTAATAAAATATAGGTTCGTAATTATTATAATAAAATAGAGTGTGGTGACTTAATATAGTTGGTAAGTTGTCACACTTCCAAGCGGCAGGACAAGAGTTCGAATCCCACCAGTAATGAAATTCGAATTTGCAGAAATACATTACAGTAAAACTGTATAACATATTAATTAGGTCAACACTTGTCACCTTAGTCTCACCAACTCATATTGGGAGGTTGTAGAATATAGTGTAATATATAAGTTATATGAAGCCCAGATGAAGCAGCCAAATAAATCTAAGAGATTGAGGGATACAGAAGCCCACTTGGGAAGTCTTGAATAGAGAGGTTGCACAGATCTTTGATGGTGCTATATAAAGGATTATCATCAGGGGAACTGAACACTGAAGGCAAACTGAATTAAGACTGAATGTTTGATAAGCACTATACCAACCAGGCCTCTGGACAACCAGAGGAAAAAAAAATTCATTCAGAATATCAGGAGACACCCACTGGTTCCTTCCAGGCTATCTGAATTATAAGTTTAGGGCACCAATAGTTGGCATTGAAGTACTGTTGAAGTGGGTGCTAGGGTTTGGATGAACTTTGCAAGAGCAAAGAGTAAGTAATGTAGCAGAGGTATAAAGCCGCAAGTACTTGGCCATGGTCTAAGTGTAAATTACTGAAAATCTAGGTGATACATATGTAGGACATGGACCGCTCTGGTAGGTTTATTATGAGGATAAAGGACCTCCCTATATGGTAGTATGTGTCTGCTTTAAAGTCCTAAAGGGCTTTCATGGCAATTCCTTTTTAGGGAGAATATCTGATAGCACTAAGTTAATTAGGGTAGTAATACTTTCATTAATCTAACAAAGTCAGGGTGCTCACATAGTAGTTACTCTAGCATTCAATCTGTAAGTTTAATAAAATATGTCAAACCCCTAAGTGAGCACCTTAACATTAAAAAAAAAAAAAAATTATTATAATAAATAAATGGCTGAAGTAATTAAGAAGTTAATACCTATGGGAAATGTTAGAAACCTGCTTATAATATTGTTTTTCAATAGATTCAAAAAGCCTGGGACAAAATTGATCCAGCACTTATTCGATGCTCGTTTAAGTATTGTAAGATTTCGAACAATTGTAATAGCTCTGAAAACAAACAAATCTTTGATTATAGTTTCATAAAGGCAGTTAAAACTTCATCTCATATTATTGCTGAGGAAGAAAATTATTAAGAGTCTAATCAATCAGTTAGAAATCATGAAGAGTCTAATTAATTAGTTAAAAATTATGAAAGGCCTAACAAATTAGTTAGAAATTATGAAGAGTCTAGCAATTTGGTTAGAAATTGTGAAAAGTCCAGCGAATCAGTTGGAAATTATGAAAAGTTCAGTGAATTGGCTAGAAACTATAAAGTGTTTAGCAAATCAGCTAGGAACTATAAAGGGTTTAGCAAATTGGCTAGAAACTGTAAAAAGTCTAATGATTCAATTAGAAACTATGAAGCATCTGGTGAATCAGTTAGAAATTATGAAGGATCAAGTGACTTGGTTAAAAATCGTGATGGTAACAATAAGTTTGGTTAATATTTTGGTGAAAATAATCTTTTGGATTTTGGAGATGAAGATTTTGATATGCATTATAATAATTTAGAAATAGAAAACTATTCTATCTTCTGGCTTTAAAAACTTTAACAAATACTAAACAATCCTTTTTATTTTTCTTATTTACTAAATTTTTGGAGGCCAATTTTTTAGAGAATTTTAAATTTTTTTTTTAAAAAATACAAATACAAACCAAGTATAATAAATATATATGTTTTGCATATGCTTTTAATTAAAAACTTTAATTTATTTTATGATTTATTTTCATAATTGAACAAAACAGTATAAATCACAATTTCAAATATATCAACTATACTTAACATTATATAATTATACTTATAGATATTAGTATTAAGTTTTTAGCAAAAATTTATTACACAATTTAAATTTTTTTTTCTATGTGGCAAATAAAAAAATTATAAATAATTTAGAATTGTGTTTACTATTTATAATATTAAATTTCTGTATAACATCTGTATATCTATTTAAAAAAAGTGTACAAAATTTTATTTCTATATGCTGTGCACAGTTTGTATAGTGAAAGTAATCATTGGTGAAAGATGTGCACTATATAAATTGTAACCAATTAAGGTCTTAAAAACTTCAACCAATCAACAAAAGTTTTAGATATATCTGGATCTTTTACAATCATATACACACAATATATTTGATTAATCTCAGGTATAAATTGTAGAGATATACTAACAAGGAGGTACTATTTGCTGAAAATTATAGTGCTTATTTACAGCACTTAAAAATATATTATATGATGTATTAATAGATGCACATTCAAAATCTGTAATAATAAATAATAGATTTAGTACTATACTATATTATTTTGGTTGATCTATAATATAGGTAGGTAATCAATATAAACTAGTAGATTAGGATTAGTTTTTTATATATAACAGGAGGTATAATATAAGAATATAAATGTTAACCATATAATCTTCTAGAAATTTTACTGTATATATTTCTTGTATAACATATCTATTTATCACATCTATAA